CTGAAAGCTGTGTGCTGTTTCACAGAGGCCATTCAGGCAGCCATCGAGCAGCTGGAGTTGCTGGGAGCTGCGGAACGCAAAGACGATCAGGTCACCCTGACTCCTCTAGGGAAGAAGATGGCCAGTTTCCCGCTAGAGCCCAGGTTTGCCAAGGTGAACAAACGGGCAAGAGTTTATTCAGTGATCAAACTTCATAACACCGTTAGCCCTGAGACTGAGCTCTCTTAGACACATGCTATATGCAATGGATCAGGGGAACCTGCAGCAGCAAAAAATGCCAAAAGAGGAATTCAGGAGTGCTGTGAAGGACAACTCCGTTGCTACAAATCTGGAGTGCAAATTTCGTATGAATGTAACTGTTTGTTTTTTCTCCCTTGGCCTGAATTGGCTTTGGAAGAAAGCCAAGTTTTATCTATTAACAATCCATTTTATACTACAACAAAAACAAAAAGCTAATTGAAGTTCCCAAATGAATCTCAGGAAATGAGAATGTTTACAGTGCTATACATATTGACTCCTAGACTAGACTTTCAATTGGGCCTGGTGTTTTTTTCTTACCCTTTTCTGTTTTTCTCCAGACAATCCTGCTGTCAGCGGACTTCTCCTGTACGGAGGAGGTGCTGACGATCGTGTCCCTCCTGTCAGTGGACAGTGTCCTCTATAACCCCCCTGCCCGGAGGGAGGAGGTCTACTCCAGGCGTAGGAAGTTCATTTCCAGTGAGGGAGACCACATGACACTGCTCAACGTCTACAGGGGCTTCAAGAACATGGGCGGAAATAAGGTGGGGGCGTCCTCAAACGTTCCAATACCCACAGGATTTAGATACACCTTTCTTGGGCAAACTGGCAAAACCAATATTGAAAGGGTTGGCAGGAGCTGATCTGCAGTATTATGTATCGCCAAGCTGTCTTTCCATTCTACTTTTTACATTTTTTTCCCCTTCGCGTTTTGCAGGATTGGTGTCGAGAGAACTTTGTGAACAGCAGGAATATGTCTCTGGTGACAGACGTTCGCAGTCAGCTGAGAGAGATCTGTGTGAAGGTATGAGACTTTGTAGCTGTGTGGATGTGTGGTCACCAATCAAAAGGGCTCTGGCTGTTATGAAATGTATTAAAAGAAAGGTGTTGCCCAGGAGATGACTAGAGAGTTGGGCACCTCATAATGCAAAGTATTAAAATAGAGCAGAGCAGTTTGGTGTCAGAGACTTTATTTAGGAGGTGTTATTTAGGGGTTATTATTTTGGTAAAAAAACATTCATTTTATTTGAAATCTGTTTTGGTTTTGCTGTTTGAGTTAAAAAGATGCGCTTGGCCTCACCCCTGTCATCATAATGTCTGATTAACTTCCCGGATTTTTATCCCCCTGCACGCAGCTGGGAATTTCCCCCGAGTCCTCTCGCTCCGATATGGGAAATGTCCGCCGCTGTCTGGCGCACGGGCTGTTCACGAACGCAGCCGAGCTGCAGCCTGACGGGACGTACATGACCTTGGACACTCACCAGCCTGTGGCCATCCACCCCTCCTCCGTGCTCTTCCAGGCCAAGCCGGCCTGTGTGGTCTTCAACGAGCTCCTGCACACTTCCAAGTGCTACATGCGGGACCTCTGCCTGGTGGACCCGGACTGGCTCCACGAAGCTGCGCCCGAGTACTTCCGCCGCAAACTCCGGGCGATCAAGAGCTAACCCCCCCGACCAAGAGGCAACTTGTGCACTAGATCTCAAGGCAGCATCTTGTTTTCACCCCACATTCACCCAAAAACAGTCTATGGTAACAGAGTAGCATACACTGTTGGATTACAAAGCATCCATCCATCCATCCATCCATTTTCTAACCAATTCTTCCAGTTCAGTTTAGTGTTGGAACTGGAGCCTATCCCAGCAAGCAACAGGCTCAAGGCAGGGTACACCCTGGATGAGATGCCTGCTTACACAGCATCTTTGTTCCAAGATCAGTTGGTGGAATCCAACACATTTGGCCTTAGAGAGAAAACTCACTGTATCACGGATGTGACAAAGATAGTCTGGTGTTTGTGGTGAGAGTTTGGGACCTGTGGGGTTGTCTCCAAAGACAACTCTAGAAATGACTCACAGTTTCAGCCTGCTCGGACAACGTCTGACCTCCACTGACTCTGTTCTGTCACCTCTCAGCTTTCCCTTGTTTTTTTACTCTTCCTTTCTCTTTCTCAGGGCTAAATCATCAGCAGATAACCGAATATTAACTTAAGAACCAGCCTGGACAATGAATTCAGCCATGCAATGAGACCTTTTGTATTCTTTTCTGGAAGAGATGGGCTGTTGCTGTGATAGATCAGTAAATTATAAAGAACTGAGCCCCACAGTGGTAGGTTTTCCACAGTTCTCATGTGTCTGGCACAACCTTGCTTTTGTATTTGACTGCTGGCAGTTTCAAGAAACACCCAACTGCTATAAAAATAGGAATATGATTAGCTTCACAGCCAGACTGCTGAGCTGTGGAGCAATAAAGAGATGTGCATTTATTGTACCTTTCAATGGCAGATATTATTGTGAATCATCTCATTCCTCCACTACCTGTTCTGCATCTTCAACAAGTTGGAAATCTCCTGAAAAACTCATTGTTAATGGAAGTCTCTTTACTTATTCTATCATTTGGCCTTAAAATGCTTACATGGTTTGACTAGCAAGCCTTCTGCTGCTGGTATTACAAATACTGGTTGGAACATGACCAGTTTCCTCCTTTCTTTATAGTGATACAGTGCAAAAAACCCAGGGAGGAGTCAAGTCACAGGATAACCTAGGTTTTTTGGGGACGGAGGCATAGATTTATTTTTTTCTGTAAATCCTGTTATGATTCTTCTTAACCAACACGGATTTCTTCACATAGTTTCACTGTGATCTTGCCAATTTTAATATTTAGTCTCACGTGCTCCCTTTAACCTGAGAATTGGATCTCTGAAACTTTGTGAACAATGGCCAGATTTTCAAATAACCCATGTTAAAGCTAACGTCATATGGCATT